ATTCAAAAATCGTACGACTCATACAGCAATCGCTATCACTTGACTTAAAATATTTTTGCCCTTCCTTGCCTTTAAAGGAGTGCCCTTTGCCGTGCTGATGTTGCTACATTCCTTACTTCTTGCCTATCTCACACTGCGAATTTTTTCTAAGCTCTATGCTAAACATTAAATATGTTACGAAAAAAGAACTAAACAAAATGAACACAAAACAATCAGCTTTAAAAAAGCACTCGTAACTGGAAAAACCGAATGAAAAAAGAATGTTAACAACAAATACTTTTTAACGCCCAACCCAGTTCTGCGGAATCAGAATCAAGCGAATGAGCCAATTGGAGTAAAGTGCTATGCAGATTTAAATTTTTCCTACTTGTGACGAATGCAGCTATCGATTGTTTTTGCATGCTAGCATGCTAGTTAACATTCGTGTCAGTCAACTGTTGGCTCTCACTCTGGCCAGTAGAAAATGGCCGCAATCTACATGAAAACTGCCGTAGAAGCATGAAAAAATCGATTATTTCCACTATCGATGGGAGTTGGGAAATGCAAAGTCGGTCTTGGCCTTCCCGCTAACTTGCATGTGTATGTAAAATTTTGGTGCAAATCCGTCGAAAATTGCGGCCGTGCATTCGTTACACACACACACACACACACACACACACACACACACACACACACACACACACACACACATCCTCCCTAGATAGAGATCAAAAGCAAATAATACACTCGAATAGTAAATTCACTTTATGAGAAGATGAGATAAAAGTACAGCAAATTAAAATTAAACATCTCAGTAAGTCCTCCACTTTTAAACTTGTAATATTTGATTTAGCACCCACGGCATATTTCGTTGCCTAAAGAATAGCGGAAAAAGTTTTAAAGAAACTAAGCTTCTGTCATTAGAAAGAAAGAAAATTCTGACGAACTGCTATGTAATATGTAATCTTCATTATGGCAGTGAGACTTACGACTATATGGATGTGTGGGTGGTGAAATGGATAACGGCTCCGAATTTGAAATCGAAGAGTCGGGTTCCAATTTCAGGTTCGTTATATTGACTTACACAGAAATGCACGTTGGAAAGGGATGAATATACCTTTTCTTCCTCCAGGTATCGATTAATTCTATCAGCAAATATTATTATCTAAAAACAATAATTCTTACGATATAAATATATTTATGGTTTAAATAATCTGTAAGTCGTAAAAAACAAATCAATCAATCAATCAATCAATCATACGTTTATGACACTGAATACTGGATAATTTTCTCTGAATTGATGATGAAACTTGAAGTAACCGAGATGTGGTTCTAGTGACGGATGATGAGAATACCATAGACAGAACAGGTGAGCAACAAGGAAGTTTTAATAAAAATAGGAAGTACATGGAAACTGTTGCCACAGGAAGAAATGCCTGGATACATTATAAAGAAATAGGATCTGGAGAATATAAAACTTACAGGTTATACTGAAAAGAATCAGAGATAAATAGCGAGAAACCTACTTAATAGGTTTGAGTGAATAGATAGCAAACCAAGGACAACGAGGGCTATTAAACGGACAACGTAGTCTCCATGACATGTCAAGTAGATATTGTTATTGGGACAAAAGGTATGCTTATTTTATAGTTCAAATGGCTAGATGTAACCGTAAGTTCTACGCTAACAGTTTTTAGATACGCAATATGGCTTTCGCTTCTCTAGGTCAACTGCTAATGTGTTAACGATTACTGTTGAAAGAGTCTATCAAGCTTTAGATAAGAATGGTGAAGCTCGAGCTGTTGCTTTGGATATCTCGAAGGCAGGGCTATGACAGGGGCTGTCATATTAATCTGCTTCACAAATTGAAAGTTTATGGCATTTCTAGATGAATTTTTGAACTGATTCAGTTTTTCTAATCAAATCACGAAATGAAAATTGTCTTGAATGGCAGCTCTTTTAGATCATTTTCCATAAATGCCGGTGTTCATCAGGGCGGCTCTATCCTTGGACCTACGTTATTTTTAATTTTCATAAATGTCCTGTGACCAGTTCTCAACTCGGTATCTATACTAATGACAACTATTTACTCCTGTCTTAATAGTACGTCTGATCAATTAGATAAAGCTAAATTGACAGCTGATCTAAAAAATGACCTTTAAATGGGGTAAGGAGTGGTTTGTTAATTCTTAACACCTCAAAAACGAAACTTCTTTCTTTTAATCACCCAAAAGAATGTTTTTTTTTTAACTTCCATCAGCATGGTTGAAGCTAACCTCCAGGAGAATGCCTCATTGCCACTTATCTGACTAACGTTTTCAGCTGACATGAAGTGGAAAGAGTATATTGAATAATTTACTAAGTCTGTAGCTAAGAAATTTGGTTAACTATGTGGTGCCAGACAATTTCTCTCGCCAGAATCTATCTTACATATTTATGAGTCTGCCATTCGTTCTTGTTTTGAATATTACTACCACATCTGGGTTGGTGCTCCTGCTATGTATTTAGAGATTCTTGATGAAATCCAAAGAAGAATATGCAATGTTATTGGTTCTAACCTGGCATCTCGGCTTTATTCTTTTCCCACCGTCGTAACGTAGCTTCCCCGTGTCTTTTCCATAAATACTCTCCTAGAAATTGCCCTGGTTGTACTTAGACTTTATTCGAGGCAAGGTCGCATTATTTTACAGTTAAAATGACTAGATCTAACCTTGGGTTCTATGTTAACAGCACTTCTCACTTGTGGAACTCTCTTTCGGCTTCTTGCTTCCCAGTCAACGTTGATCATCAAAAATTTAAATGCAATATCAGTCGTTATCTTATGTCTTTTTAATTCTTCTTATTTTTTTTTATTAATAGTATTTTTCATATTCTTTAAGTTCCAGTAAACTCTTGCGTCCTAGTTGCTTTATTGCCGTGCTTGTAGTGAAATGATTAAAAAAAAAAGAAGAAAAGAAGATACACGGATATTTAAATTGAAATTCCCTCCGAAGCGTCTGATCTCCTGCCTCACCACTAATTCTTCTCCATTTCCTCCTGAGATTTACCTACTCTGAGATTTTTTTTTAATATTCCTTTGTTATTGATTCAAGAGACAGACTGTTCTCATTTTCTAATTCAGCATTAGCACTCCTTCTGAATATCTATCCAGACAAAATTACAAAGAGAATATGGTTAATATTTCAAATTTGCCTATAAATAATTATGATGGAAGCTTTCATTTTAATCAGTCTGGTGTTTCTATCACTTTAGATTCGGTGTAACAGTTCGAGAAACATTCATTATATTTGCTATATATGGATAATTTGATTGCAAAATCTGATCATTTAAAAGCGTTTCATAATTTATACATTTAAATAAGCATTTAAAAACAATTTTTCTGCCTTTTACAACTTCCATAACATCCCAATCGTTAACAAGGGATCGGGGGTGGGTTGATCACCTTTTGACGACTGTGTAACGAGCATATTTTGCCAGGAAAGTGAAGGGTACCAGCACAAGCTACAGCATTTTACTGTCGGTAATGCCGGACTAACATCAGCTGATATTTTACAATCAGTTAACCAACTAAAAACAGTGATAGCCAGATTGTTACATTTATGTGCCATGCCCTTTCAGGATGTTGGCAATCATGGCACCCCACAACTTTCTACTCTTCGTTGATCCAATCAATGTTCATTCTCTCCTTATCCATAAGTGTCCCTCTTCTTCAATGTATTTGCACAAACTCGTCAGGTAGACTTTTCGCTGTTTCGCTCTCTCATTCTTGCCTTCAGTGGGGATTGGTTAAATTTCTCATTCAAGAGTCTGAATTTCCAGCCTCTAAAGTTAATTGTTAATAAACTGGTGCATTTTTGCTTGGGTCTGACATGATACTAATGAAAAATTATGTCCTGTGAGAGTCAAACCTCTTTCCTCATGATGTGTCTCATTTGTTTCCCGTCCTGAGTATGACGATAGACTACATCCACGCCCTGGGTAAGACGATAAACTACATCCTACAGCAAGGCCTCTGATCAGGAGGTTTTGAGGAACCACCTTCTTAATTGCTGGTGTTCCCAGGTCCACCTTGACCCGGGGTGGTAGCACCTGTTAGGGCCCCACCTATGGGTAAATAGTTAAACACATTTTTGAAGAAAATAAATATTATCAACAATAAATTTTTAAGGAAAAATATTACCAGTAATAAGTTTTTGGAAAAAATAGTTACCAGCAATAAAAATGTTGTCGGCATTAAATAACCCATTGAGGTTGATATAGCGTAAAACAAAACAAAACAAACCACACCAATCATATTTGTTTTGTACCAAATTTTCTTCTTGGTTTCCACTTTTTTAAAAAACAACTTTTTTATTGCCCAGATACTCCGTCCATGGTATTTCTAGCTTCCATCTGTAGGACCCCATCGCTGTTGCCTCAAGTCTTCTCTTCGTCTCCGAGGAAATTGACTAACATTCACTGCTATATAAGAGGATTGGTATTACAAAGCTTTCCGCCCTTATTCAGCATTTGTTTTCTTTTTTTCTGTTTCCATACGCATTCGGCTTTCGGGGGAGAAGGATGTAAACCTATGTTTTATAGACTACGTAAAAGTATTTGACAAGTTGTGACACAAAGATCTATTCGAACTGCTAGGAAAACTTGATATTTATCTTCATTTAGGAAAGCTATTAGATTAACCCGGAACATTTTCTGTGAGCACAGCGCCTGTATACGGATAGAAAATGAATTGAGCTTATGCAGAGAAAGGGCGTAAGAAAAGCATGCGCGTGGTCACCGCATGTATTTAATATTTATAGCGAAAATCCAAAGAGAAGTAGAAGTCTTGTCAGGATTTATTGCTGATAGGTACAATCTTAACGAGATAAGTTAAGCAGATAACACTGTGGTGATGGCAGGCAGAAGAAAAGAAAAGATGTAACCCTAAAGAAAATGTTTCATATTATAAAAGCTATAATTCCTATATTTTCGAATAAATGTTTTCGTTGTTTTATATTATTCCTTACGGCATACGGACATAACGTCGAAACATTGGTTCTCGTAAGATCACCTAAATTAAGAAACGTCGAGCCAGGTCACTACTTAGATGGGTGACCGCTTGGGAATACCTAGTGTTCTAAGCTTGGATGTACGAGTGGCGAAATGGATAACAACGAGGAATTGGAAGTCAGAGAGCTGAGTTCCAATTCCACTCAGAATCGTTATAGTTACTTGCGTGCAAATAACCATGGGAACAGTATAAGTACACGTTTTCTTCCCTCCAGCTATGGGTTAATTTGTATGACATGTATCAGTAAATTATTATTATCACCAAAGCATTCTCCACAATCTAAAAAAAAATATTCTCTTGCTTTAAATAACCTGTAAACGGTCGATAAGCCGTAAAAAACAAATCAGTCGCTCATTAATCAATTATCGTTTAAATATACGAGTGTCATTTTCGAACAATATTTGTTTGTTTTTCACATTTGAAGTTGTTTTCTTTTCCACATATCTGACTTTCATAGTCCTGGGTATAATGATAAACTACAATTGGCAGCAAGTCCTCTGGTCGGAAGATTTGAGGTTTTGAGGAGCACTGATCTCTATCTATAAAAGGCAGGATGTGCGTGTGTGTAACGAATGCACGGACGTAATTTTCGACGGATTTGCACCAAAATTTACATGCACATGCACCAAGTTAGCGGGAAGGCCAAGACCGACCTTGCATTTCCCAACTCCCATCGATAGTGGAAATAATCGATTTTTTCATGCTTCTACGGCAGTTTTCATTTTCTACTGGCCAGAGTGAGAGCCAATAGCTGGCTGCCACGAATAAGCAAGAAGATTCTATTGGCCAGCGTGAGAGCCAACAGCTGACTGGCACGAATGTTAACTAGCATGCAAAAACAATCGATAGCTGCATTCGTCACACGTGGGAAAAATTTAAATCAGCATGACACTTTACTCCAATTATGCTCATTCGCTTGCTTAAACTCAACGTTGATTCTGATTCCGCAGAACTGGTTTGGGTGTGAAAAAGTATTTGTTGTTAACATTCTTTTTTCATTCGGTTTTTCCAGTTACGAGTCCTTTTTTTTTTTAAGCTGATCGTTTTGTGTTCATTTTGTTTAATTCTTTTTTCGTAACAGATTTAATGTTTAGTATAGAGCTTAGAAAAAATTCGCAGTGTGAGATAGGCAAGAAGTAAGGAATGTAGCAACATCAGCACGGCAAAGGGCACTCCTTTAAAGGCAAGGAAGGGCAAAAATATTTTAAGTCAAGTGATAGCGATTGTTGTATGAGTCGTACGATGTTTGAATCAACCACGGGCAGCGCCGGGCCATGCTGCTAGTTCACCTATAAATTGCTGTTGTTCTCAGATCCACGCTAACCCAAGGTGATAGCAACTGTTAGAGTCTCAGCTATGGGAAAATTGTGAACTCCCAAGCAAAAACAAAACACTAAAAATATATCTTTATCCTAAAAATTCGAGAAATACTTTTTTTATCTAAAAAAATTACCAGCAATACATATTTGTAGGGAAATCAACAACAATATAAATTTAAAGCAAAATGGCTACCAATACATTTTATCTGTAGTTGAAGATATACAATTGCATTCAAAATATATTTATTTGAAGTCATAAAATTTTGTTCAAAATATTTAGATTTCGGCATTAAATAACCCACAGAGGTATCTATAATAAATTAAAATTAAGATATATAATAAATTTAAATCAACATTCTTAAAATTAGATTATGGAGAATATTTTCCAATATTTTAAAGATTTCTGAGTTGTATAAAAAGGAGCTGACACGTCATTTTCTTAAATTATGTTTTAACAGAAAAAAATCAGCATAAACAACAATAAACGTGTCAACACATTTATCAACATTAGTCATCGCTCGTCAATCATGCAAACATGGCTACTGTTGGTTAAAAACATAACTAGTGTTTGTTTTAAAATAGAATTTCTGTGATATCTTAAACTTTAAATAAATAATATATTTTCAAATCAGATTAATTATACATTAAATCAGCTAATATTCCTGAAATAAATTTTCAGAAAGTATATTTTCTTTTTAGAAGACTTTGTAATGAAGAAAATTTCATTGCGATGCAAGGCGACTAAAATGGGCGCTAATCAGCTATTTTTAAAAAGGTAAAAAAAAACTCTTCTAGTCAATTTAAATTAGTTTTAAATTACTTTTTGGAATACAGCGAAGTATTTTGCTTATTGGTAATATTAAATTTAATTTATTAGCTTGAAATTAAAACTAAAATAAAAGCGTCAAATTAATTTTAAATCTTAGGTATCGCGTTTTTAGTGGATGTCTGTAGTTATATCCCAGTGTATATGTCGTGCCAACAGATGTAAAATCGGACAATCATATCTCTTCTATGCGACACTGTGTTGTTTATAGTGCATTTTAGATTTTAATAGCATGTGTTTCACATCAGATAGATTATTGTTTTGCCCGAATTTACTGTACAGTTTAAAACTTCTTGGTTACAAACTGCGCCACTCAGAAAACATCTTGTCCAAGAACTTACAATAATTTTCTGCATATATCTCCGCACAAACATCAACTTTAAATAAACTTATTATTTACTGCCTAAAATAGTACCTCAAA